TCTACAATTTTTTTTTTTAATTAGCCTGGCATGGTGGCACGTGCCCGTAGTCCCAGCTACTCAGGAGGCTGAGGTAGGAGGATCATCTGAACACAGGAGGTTGAGGACACAGCGATAATCATGTCACTGCATTCCAGCCTGGGCCACAGAGACAGACCCTGTCTCTGGAAAAAAATAAAGTAAAATCAATGTTTTCGTAAGAGGGGTGAGATTTTTCAGAGAGTTATGTCCAATTCTTTTAGACTAGACCAGTAGCCTGGCTTCTGGGACATCTAAAGCACAAGGATGGAATTAAGACATGCTTCCCAATGTACGAAGTTGACTGCCTGGCACCTGGAACACATCTCCAACACAGGGTTCACCAGGCACTCTAAACAACTGAGTGAAAGAGCTCAGCTCACTGTGAGCATGAAATCAGGACCAAGTGTTTATATAGCCATTTGCTGGAAATCTGTCTAGCTGTGTTATTCATACACTCACAGTAACAAATCAATTCAGACATATTTATGAATGCAAAAAAACACTTATTTATAAGCATCTCTCAAATTCAGTTGTAGCACAATAAATAGTTGCTGAGTGAAGGAATTTCGTTGTCCTTAAATTAATAGGTTTAGCCATGCAATATACAGTCCTGTGTAAAGGCAGTTATGTGCACGTACGTGTTTGAATTATAAGCTACTTCTAAGAGTTTCTGAAAACAGATAGGGGCAACTTAAATATAAACATGGATACATAATTTCCAAACAGCCTAAACATATTCATGGCCACAGTCCCAAAGCTACTCTCCCTCCCAAAATTCCTGTGGGATCAGGATTTTAAAAAGCAAGCATGCCATGAAAACAGAATGACCTTAAGAGAATATAACTCCCACAAACTGCTTAACAAGTAATATGCCCGACCTGGGCTGCCCCAGGGCCAATATATCCTCCAAGCAGTTCTCAAAGTTTTCAGTCCACACTGTCACTTGGCTAATGATCCTTCCAAAGCACACCTGTTAAGTTTACTAGAATTCTCTCTCTCTCAGATGCAGCTACCTGCTACCTCTGCAGGGGAGTAGGGAGCCATCATCCATTCACAGCTTAGTGGCAAGAGCACAAACACTCAGTATTCCTAAAATTAGGGGAGAAGTTGGGGGGTGGTAAAGAGGAGGGAGAGAGGGAGGGGGAGGAAGAAAGGCATTAATTTCAAGCCCATCAAAACTGTTGGGTGCAAAGAGTGGAAGCTAAACCATGACTTTGAAAATGGAACTCAAAAACGTTTATCTCAGGCCAGGTGTTGTGGCTCACGCCTATAATCTCAGCACTCTAGGAGGTCAAGGTAGGAGAATCGCTTGAGCACAGGAGTTGTGAGACCAGCCTGGTCAACATAGTGAGATCTCATCTCTATAAAACAATATTTTTAAAAAATCAGCCAACCATGGTGGCACACACCTGAAGTCCCAGCTATTGGGGAAGCTGAGGTGGAAGGATCACCTGAGCCCAAGAGGTCGAGGTTGCAGTAAGCATGAGATCACTGCACTCCAGCCTGGGCAACAGAGCCTGACTCAAAATAAAACAAAAAGTTTATCTCAAAAATTCTGGTGACACTTGGCCCTTAAACAAGAAAGGAGGAGGAAATTCTTACTTTTGTCCCTTCCTTTCTCCTTGTTCCAGGACTCAGAACTTAGTAGAGTTCTATGGTTAATTATGAGACAGTTAGGTTTAATAACATTACTTTCATGAGGAAATGAAATTCTACTCAATTAAATATTTAATTGCCTTTGCAAACATTGCCCGTGCTAGACTGGAGGGATGTGATTAGTTTTGGACCTTGCTTGCTTAGTGTTGCTCTAGGATTTGGGGCAGAAATGACAATTGTAGAGAGAAGTGATAACTGTACAGAGTAATAGCAAAGTGCTAAGGGTGGGGCTTCCCCACTCCCAGCCTCACTCTCACCCCCACTCCAAAGTCCAAATGAACTCAGGGTTTCCTCTCTTGGCATGAAGCACTCTGCCTTGTATCATGTGTCCCATCTACACGGTGACTTGCTACCTCCTACCATTGTTTACATTATTAAATCTTGTGGAGCTTTTTTGAAGGAAACCAGAATTGCCCAGGTACTTTGATAAAGAGCTCGAGAAACAAGGATTGAGAAGCACTGCACTCCCCTCAGGGATTCCAGAGTCCCAAGTAGCTGGTGAAGATGTGAACACCAAAGGTCAAGTCTCACTCCAGTCCAAGAACAGGTGTGGGCAACCTCTGTGTCACTGGGTTCTCTCTAATAAGAATGCCCAGGTGACCTGTGAAGTCCCTACCAGCTCTAAACTGTGGAAAGACTCCAATTCTATAACCATTTCTTAGGATTATGAGTTTGGATAAGAACTCCTGTAATATGTTCTTCCCTTTTATTTTCTGAGAGAGGGTCTCATTCTGCTGCCCAGACTCAGCTCACTAAAATCTCCAACTCCTGGTCTCAAGTGATCCTCCTGCCTTAGCCTCCTGAAAAGTTAGGACTATACACACATACCACCAAGCTCAGTTTTTTTAAAGAAATGGGTCACACTATGTTGCCCAAGCTGGTCTCAACTTCTAGCTCAAGCAATCCTCCCACCACATCTCCAAGTGCTAGGATTACTGGCATGAGCCACCTCACTGGGCCCCTAATTTTAAAAATAATTCAATCAGCCGGGCTCGGTGGCTCAGCCTGTAATCCCGCGCCTTTGGGAGGCTGAGGTGAGTGGATTGCTTGAGCCCGCGGGTTCGAGACCCGCCTGGGCAGGTAAGACCTCATCTCTACAATAAATCAAAAAATTAGCTGGGCATGGTAGCGCGCGCCTGTAATTCCGGCTACTTGGAAGGCTGAGGCGGAAGGATCGCCAGAGCCCAGCAGGTCGAGGCTGCAGTGGCCGGGAGCGGCCACTGCACTCCAGTCTGGGCGACAGAGTGAGACTCCAACTCAAAAAAAAAAATAAAAAAATAAAAAAAAATAAAAATAATTCAATCAAGATCATTTAAAAATAAATGAGGGAAAAATAAGGTCAGTAGATTATTTTGGAACTTCAGAGTATCTGAATATAAAATAATTTAGCCTTTTCTTACCAAAGGAAGGATTGCCTTCACTTGTTTAAAAAATACAAAAACATGATTTTTAAAAATTGCTGATTTCTAACAAAGCACAAAAGTTTTCTCACAGTTTTTTTTAAATCATGAGATGTATACATTTACATTCCAAATACATAAAATCATGAGGAAAGGTTTTCAAAGCTGAAACCGTCACCTTATAGTAAGAGAGATACTCAAGAAGGATGTGACTTGTAAGGAGAATCTAGGTCACAGAAGGTCTGGATCCTGGAAAACAGGATTCGCCCTCTTGCCACACACACCCAGGTTATAAAGTCAAACTCCTATATAATCATTGTAAGTTATTGAGCAGATATCAAACCCAGTATCCCAAACATCACCCATTCAGAAAGTTCATGTTCCTCATGGGGCAGGGAGGTGACTCATGGGACTTCCATGTTCTAACAGCAATATAAAAGGGAACTGTTAATAAAATGCAGCCTAAGCAAACACCCCTTGACCTCCCTCAGGAAAACACCAGCAGTGAAAAGTCTTGAGAACCTCTTCCTGTGATGGACAGTTTGTGTGTGTTAGTACTAAATGAATTTTTAAAGTACTTCATAAAGAGTTAGCCACGTTCACTATTCTCCCTTCTGACCTTTACCAATAAAGGTGCATGAACTCATATGTATATACACCTTATAATATTAAAATATAGATTTCAAAAGCCAACTGTCTCCCTTAGTAGCACCTGTGTTCCATTCATATTCATCTAGTCTTTCTATTAGTTCTAGGGAACTCTGAACAAGTAAGTACATGACTACCAACAGATCTAAAAAAAAAAAAAGCAAACGGGATGTGGTAATATTTACTGAAGGTGACAATAAGAATTTTCATAATTTCAAGACTAAAATCAGATTATGAATCACAGATTTTAGAAACTAATTTTTGTCTTGTTAATTTTATGCTTGTTTTCATAAAAATATTCATCTTAATTTTAAAAAAAGATACCTTTTTTTTTTGAGTTGGAGTCTCACTCTGTTGCCCAGACTGGAGTGCAGTGGCCGCTCCTGGCCACCACAGCCTTGACCTGCTGGGCTCCGGCGATCCTTCCGCCTCGGCCTTCCAAGTAGCTGGAACTACAGGCACGTGCTACCACGCCCGGCTAATTTTTGATTTATTGTAGAGATGAGGTCTCGCTGCCCAGGTGGGTCTTGAACCCGCGGGCTCAGGTAATCCACTCACCTCAGCCTCCCAAAGGCGTGGGATTGCAGGCTGAGCCACCAAGCCTGGCTAAAAAAAGATACCTTTAAAAGTACATGTTTACTTGGCATTATTTTTAGGAAAAAAGGTCTTGTGGGTAAAGCTAAATTATATCATTCTTAAGTCACTTGATTTCAGTTCCTTAATGTATACTTCTGGGACTTACACTAAGCTTATATGCCTTGTTTTATTTTATATCTTGCAAAAAGAGAAAACTCTGGGTAAAAAAAATTCAGGCAATTTCTATTTTCCCCATGTATTTTACACTTACAAAAATTTTCTTTATTTACAATCACAGAAGAGACTGAGTCACTATCATATATCAGAATAAAATGCCAGTTTCAAAATAATAGTTTAGCTTTCAAAAAGTTTGGGATAGGACAACAAAAACCGGATAACTTTTATATGATTCTTATACCTTAACTACTACAGGTAGACACAAAGAGAATGTGAAACCAAAAACACTGTTGTAAAACCCAATTTTTAAAAATTCTCAAGTTTAAAGCGTTTTCTGCTTAGCAATAACAAATGGAAAAGGCAGAAAGATGGTGTAGAGGGAATGAGGGAGAGCAGGTAGTAGAAGTTCTGTCCCACATAGTGTTTAGAATGAAAAGTTAGAGGGAGGATTACATCCTCTCCTCTCAGTAGTGTTCAGGTAGAGCAAGCAAAGGAATGGGGACAATGGCAGATGTAACTCACCAAGATACCAGGAGGGGCCTTGACATGGTAAACATCTTGAGTTTTACTCAATGAGCCTTCAGGAACCTTCTCCTCATCTTCACTATCATCTTCTAAGTAAAACATCTTAGAATTCAACTAGATTATCACACATGTCTTTTTTCAGAGATATAGGTATCATCAAAACAGAAAGTAGCTCTTCTGACAAACTGAGTGCAAACTGCTTCAGACACAGTGATATGGTTAAAACTGAAAGGAAATGGTTCTTAAAAAAAAAAAGCAATGCACACGCAAATTTACCAATGAGATTTGCTCCAAATGCCTCAACCCCTTCTCTTCAAAGAAGATAAGCAGGGGCATGGGACAGGCTGTGCCATGTGTTTACACTGATAGGTACCAAGACCTGCCCAATCACATGACGGCCACTGCAGCTTCCATCACACCAGACAGGGATTGAGTTAATGATTCTCTAAACCAATCACATTCTCATTTTTTAGAAATAAAAACAGCCATACATATGGAGACATAATCTTATGTAAGCTAATCACATAAGAAAAATAGTTTACATATATTTTCTAAGTTATCAGCAAGCTTTCCAAAGTCAGTCAAAACAAAAAAACTTTGTCATATTGTCATGACACAATATATTTTCTTAATTCTGAAAGATATTCTGCTCAGTACTGTAAATAATAAACAAAATGCATTTGATTTCAAGAGTATGACAATGCAACATAGTAAATCCAAAGAGTACTGGCATTTCCTTGCCAACCCTCAGTAAGTCAACACAACAGTAATTTTAACTAAATTTTCCTAAAAACCTAAAACACACATGAACAAATAAGTTTCTGAATTAAAATACAGTACTTTACTCAAATCGGTCTGGGACCGTGCTGCTCATTACAAATAGCTATTAGCCACATGTGGCTATGCATACTTGCAATCAGGCTAATGCCAACTGCAAGATGCTCTACGTGTAAAAACACACCGAACTCTGAAGACTGGGAATGAAAAAAGAATTAAACAATCATAATTTATACATATTACATGTTGAAATAAATATTGCATGTTGAAATGATAATATTTTGGATATGCTGCGTTAAAGACATTACAATTATTTTTAACTAGTTTTTTCTTTTTTAAACTCTTAAAATGTGATTACCAGAAAACTTAAAACTATACTGACATTATACTTCTCTTGAGCAGTGCTGCTCTAGGGTCCTGAGAAAAACTTGGGGGGGGGGGAGGCAGAGGGCAGGGGAAAGACGTTTAGGCAAAAAGCTATACTTAAGGAAGAACTGAAGATGACAGGATTGTTCATCATTCCTTAAGAGTATTTAGTTACCTCATCAAAAATATGCTAGCTGATCCACATGCATTTAATGATCTTCACATTAAACCGTTTTCTCTAAAACTAAATTTCACAAAAAGACAACTTCCAAGTGTTTAACCAAGTAAGAGGGATTTGTTAATATTTAATAAGCAATATACCCCCAATGTTTATGTAATAAAGAAGCTAAGTGGCAGAATTAAAAACCAATTTCACCAAAGTTAGAAACACAGCTGGGCATGATGCAATCCCAGCACTTTGGAAGGTCAAGAAGGGAAGAATGCCTGAGCCCAGGAGTTTAAGACCAGCAGGCAACATGGCAAGACCTTGTCTCTAAAAAAAAAAAAAAAAAAATTAGCCAAGCATGGTGGTGTGGTCTGTAGTCCTAGCTACCTGGAAGACTGAGGCAGAAGGATCATCTGAGCCCAGAAGGTCAAGGCTGCAGTGATCATGGTCAACTGAACTCCAACCTGGGAGATAGAGTGAGACTCTGACTCAAAAAAAAAAAAAAAAAATAGTAACAGGAAAATTTATCTCACATTCAACACGTCTCCCTGCTTGCTGTCCAGCCTACCAGATAGTAACGTGAGTCTTCAGTACACTGAAGCATCTACAGAGGATTGTAATCTAATTCAATGCACATCATACACACTAATTCTTCCTTAAAAGAGAAGTGATTTTTTTTAAATGGACTAAATATTGTGCATTGAACAAAAATGTGTATCTTTTCATCCAAGAACTGTTGCAGTTCCAGATCCCCAGCACCAAATGGTCATGACAAAAGTCTGATATTGGGGTGCTGCCAGTAGGGAAAATGGAAGAAGATGCCAGAGGTCAGGAGAGAAGGGAAGGCAAGCAGGAGAGGGAGAAAGAGGGATTAAGGAGGAACCTAAGGAGAAGGAGAAAAAAGGAAAGGTTAGTAGAGCAGAGGAAATAAAATGTGGAAGAAATGAGAAAATATGCATGTGGGAAGCAGGGGAAGGGGAAACTGTAAGTAGGAAAGCGGAAAGAAAAAAGAAGAAAAATCATATCCAATTTAATGGAACCGAGGCCCAGAAAGAGGGCAGAAAATTAGTCCAAGATCACCCACTTGGTTGGCAAAGGTGCTGGAACAAGAAGCCTCTCAATTTCTGGTTCAGTACTTTTTTCATTATGCCAAGTAGAGACCAAAAGAGAATATGCTAGGGAATGGGGAAGAAGGAAGACAAGAAACAGGAGGAAAGGCATGACAAGTGACGACTGGCACGTGGTGGAGATCGAGGAGGGCAGAGGTCAGTTCAACAGAACTCTGTTCAGCAATGCTCACCTCAAACACCTCTTACACAACACGCAGGCCCCAGGCCAGCCACTTGGGTTCCCTGCTAGTCTTGGTTTGGTTTCACTGTTCTGATGGATGACTCACAGAATGTCCTGACTTCAAGAGGGCACGAACCACAGATCCATCAGAGGTGAGCTCACCTTCTAAACATACAAGTTGCCACCAGGTACACATTAACAGCTTCCTCCTATGGCAACTTGTGGATCACCCTGACCCCCAAGGTTGGTACTCAAAGTTCTGGTTCCAGCCATCATCTGTGTAGTGGCACTTTTCAGTTTTAGTCAATAAATATTAAAAAGATAAAATAATCCCCCCCCCTTTTGTTAAGACAGTCTCACTCTGCTGCCCAAGGCTGGAGTAGAGGGGCGCTCACTACAGCCTTGAACCTCTGGGTTCAAACAATCCTCCTGCCTCAGCCTCTTAAGTAGCTAGGACTATAGGTGCATGCCAGCACACTCCACTAATTTTTCCATTTTTTGTAGAGACAGGGTCATGCTTTATTGCCAGGCTGGTCTCAAAATCCTCGCCTCAAGCAATCCTCCCACCTCGGCCTCCCGAAGTGCTGGGATTACAGATGTGAGCCATCACACCCAGCAGCAATTCTTAAACATCCCTGTAATTTTCAAAGGAAAATGTTGCTGTATTGTCAAACTTTCTTCTACAGGCTAGAATAAAAATAAATGGCTGAATATGGAGAAAAACTACTGCGGTGTTATGATATACATATATACTGGTTTTCATCCAGTTTCTGGTTCACAGCTCCCATAGCCCTTGTTACATACCATCTTTTGTTATAATGTTGGGGCACTTTTGGCTTCAGGAAACATAATTTCTCCCTCTGACCTTCTACTGTTCTCCCTTCATTTACCCCATGCAGGACTCTAATCTGATTGTGGGTCAAAAGATCTTCATCCTTGGCTGGGCATGGTGGTTCATGCCTGTAATCCCAGCACTTTGGGAGGCCAAGGCAAGAGGACCACTTGCACCCAGGAGTTCAAGACCAGCGTGGGCAACACAGCGAGACCTCGTCTCTACATAAAAACCAAAAAAATTAGGTGGTTACGGTTGCACATATCTATAGTTCCAGTTACTCAGGAGGCCAAGGTGGGAGGACCACTTCAGCCCAGGAGTTCAAGGTTGTGATAAGCCATGATGGTTCCAATGCACTCCAGCCTGGGCAAAAAGACTGAGACACTGACTCCAAAAAAAAATTCTCATTCTAGAGTGTCTTGCCATAAACCCTAGTTGAAGGAATGCTGCAAAGAGGCCAAGAAAAGTCTGAAAGGACAGGCCTGCTCTGTTTAGAGAATTTTTTTCCAATCACATTTCAACATGGTTGCCCACACTCCAATCATAGACCACCAATGAAGTATCCATAAAAGTCACAAAGGACAGGGTTTAGGGAGCTCCTGGAAAGCTGAAAATGTGGAGGCTGACAGGAAAGTGAAGAACAACTCATGGACAGCTGGAAGGGTGGTGAACCCTAACTCTATGGGGACAGCACGGATGCCCGTGTATTCTGAACCCTTCTAAGCCTTGCCCTATGTATCTCTTCATCTGGTTGTTTATTTGTATCCCTTAAAATAGACTTAATAAATCAGTAAACATAAGTAAGTGTTTCCCGGAGTTCTATGAGCCACTCTAGCAAATTAATCAAATCCAAAGAGGGGGTCTAGGAAGTCCAACTTCTTGAAGCCAGTCAGTCAGAAGTTACAAAGGCTTAGACTTGCAACTGCCAGAGATGAAGGAAATTGAGACTGAGCCTTCAGCTAGTGGGATCTGACACTATTTCCAGGTAGGTAATGTCAAAATTGGATTGGAGGACACCCAGCTGGTATCCACAGCTTAGTGGTGGGGAGAAGAAACTCCCACATTTGGTCACAGAAGTTTCTTCTGTGTTGACAATCGTTGTGTGGTGTGGGATCATAGAAAAAACACGGTTTTAGAGAGTTTTTCCTAAAACAACTACTTTTTGATTTTGCACAGCATTTTCAATGATCTTAAATTATTTTTTTTAAGTGGGTGGAATTTGGAAGTCTTTTTTCCAAGATTTAAATCTTTCAAAAATAGTCTAACTTACAGAAACAAAGCTAAAATGCTAGTCAGGAAAAACAAAATCTTGTTCAGATTCCACAACGGATAATAATGCTAAATAAAATATATACCTTCTTTGTTTCTGTTTTCTACTAATCCCATGAACACTTAAGACTAGGTATACAGGGCTTTTTAAGAAAGTATAAGGATTTACTCAAAACTTTTTAACCTGAAATTTTCTTGAAGTTGTGCTAAATTGGTTCAACAGAAATATATATATATATTCATTCTTTTTTTTTTTTTTTTTGAGTTTAAGTCTCACTCTGTTGCCCAGACTGGAGTGCAATGACCACCTCAGCCTTCCAAGTAGCCAGAACTACAGGTGTGCGCTACCATGCCTGGCTAATTTTTTATTTATTGTAAAGATGAGGTCTCACCAAGTTGAACAGGTGGGTCTCGAACCCGTGGGCTCAGGCAATCCACTTTCCTTGGCCTTTATACCTTTATACCACAAGCTATGGTCTCATTTTACCACAAAACACGAAAATAATTATACCCCCTCTAGTGGCCACACTGTGAAAG